CTGCACGTGCTGTTCACCTGGATCAGCCCTATAAAATGCACTCCCATACCTGGTTGAATAATTTACCACACTACAACGTCAGCAGCATGCCACGACTCACAATACCTCAGAGGAACCATACGCTTGGAAGATTCGACGGATGATCGCATCTGAGACAGCACGCCAGACAGCACGTAGCGATACAGTGCGCCAGAGAGAACATCCATTGCCGTAGACCTTACCGTGGACCGATCCTCACCCCTCGCCATGGTCGTGAACGTCTACAGTTTGTCCAACAACACTAAAACTGCGACACAGGCAACGAAGAACTGTTCTGTTCACAGATGAGACTCGGAATTGTGTATCAACTGCAGATGACAGGACCAGAATATGGCACCACGTGGCCAGCGTTATTCTGACCAATGTGTCATGGAACGAGGCTCATGGGGAGGTCAAGCATAATGGTTTGGGGGTGGAATCGGCCTGAACCAGGGAGTGTGTCCTGTGGTGTTCCAAAATCTTGGTCCAGGAAGAGGAGGCAGCATCACAGCAGTGCGCTACATCGATCAAGTTCTCAGACCCCACGTCATAGCACATTTCGCACGTCATCGAAACAACGTTTTCTAGCATGACAACGCCCGTTCCCACACCGCCAGAGTTATTCGGGACTTTCTACAGCAGAACGGTGTCAACGTTATGCACTGGTCAGCCCGTAGTCCTGACTTAAACCCTATTGAACATCTTTGGAATGAAATTCAGAGGAGACTGAATAAAGTCGTACCGAGATCAAACACAGCCAATGGATTTTCTGAGGGTGTGGCTCCAGGTGCCAATGGCGTTCATCAATCGTCTACTCCACTCCATGTACAGACGCTGCGCTGCTGTTATTGACACTCGCGGTGGACGCACCAGATACTGATGTATAGACTGTGTACAGACTCTAAACCTTCTCGTAATATCTTGGAATTGTGATGAATTAATCACTAATGTGTCAACATACTGTTCACAAAAAAATTTCTTTGATCCATTTAATAAGTCATTTAGAATGAGTTGATTAAAGTGCCTCTCTGATTTTGAAATCGAACGGACGTTTTTTTTTTGCTCTTTAGTATATAAACATATCACTCAATTTAATTTGTGTGTGTGAGATATGACTTCTATACAATGTGTGAATCAACTAATTAGTTAATGATACAATATGGACCATGGGTTCAAATAACTGGAAAACGCGTTAATGTGATTGACAAATATTTCAAATTGGCTTGGAAAGTCCCCTCTACAGGAATGTTTTCGGTCATTTAAGTTCTGCCCTTATGCAGTCAGATACAACACCTCTGATACGTAGTCTGGGGTATAGAAGAGCCCGGATGTATGCCGAGTAATGTTTTAAAACACATGTTGGTATATATTAATAAAAAAAAATATATATTGTTACTTGATCGTAAAGTTGATGAAAAACGGGGACTTTTCTGAATGTGTGTACCAACTGGCGTGGGTAGGATTAGAATCGGATTCTGTCAGTCCAACCTCTTTGGAATAATTGTTGAATTTAAAACTATAAACCATTTTCCACGGCTTTCACACCACGGGGCCCCGGCCCGTCTTTGTGCCATTTGGAGCTCGTGTCACCGTCATGGTAATCGGGGCTTAATTGTCCGGGCCTGTAGAGCGCTACAGTGATGAGGAGCTCGCCAGTGTCGCTCTCTGCCGCCAATGATCATGCATGCGATTATCGATCGCTTATGTACGCTGACTGGTATCCGATCATTAAAAACAAAACTAAAAGAGAAACATTTACTTTCGTCTTTCTTTCGTTAGGCGCTAAAAATCTCGATGTTTTTCAATATGTTTGCCAAATGCGGATGTTTTGACTGCGTGATACGTCACTTTTATGTTCGGTAAAAGCTTATTATCCGTTCGGTCTGGCAATTTTAAGCATCGAAAATGGCTCGTGCATGTACTGTTAATTTTGATGAGGCTATTGATGAGTTCGCTTCCAAGTGTGCACGAAGAGTTCCATTTGAAACCAGTTTAACATGATTTGGGGTATTGAAAACAATAAACGAATAGTTTATAAATTATGTGATGATAAAATTTCTTTTTTGATATTTTCGCGTCTTATGGTGTTACGCCTTCCATGCATCAAATCGATCAAAGCAATCTCATCAGATTACGGCCCACGGATGGTCGACATTGGCACTGGCTTGGAACGATCAACGGCCCCGCGGAAGTCGTTAGTGAAGTCATTGGCCATCACAGCTGATCTGGTAATGGAATCTGTAATGAAGACTTAATTTGGGGATAGCCGGGTGTGTAATTTTGTGAGATCCTGTGTCTAGAAAGGTATTACAAGCCAGAATCAAACTGATATTATTCAGACTTGGCGAGGGCGTCTAGAAGTTAACTTGGGATCGACAGGTTTACAGTTAAGACCGGACAGCGGCCATGTAAGTTAGTTGGGAGTTGGCACCCAAGTGTGTCAGACCAAGCTAGGATCATGACTCCCTCAACACAAGCTAATTACAGACTTTTAAGTTTTGTATATGATATGTTTGAAGAAGAATAAAAGTATTATAGGAAGTTTAAACCAGTGTTGTCATCAGGACTTGATTCAAAGAACCTCAAAAAAGTGTAACAGCATTAACAAAACGTTTAAGCCCCCCCCCCCCCCAAACCCAATCAAAGTCCTAATCTTCAACGTTTTGTATTCGCAATGTTAAACAAAGAGGCTCCCGACAGTTTAATATAGATCCCAGTTTACGGATTTTGGTTGATATTAAAATAAGATAAACAACCAAGATGAGAGTATCCTCTGACCTACATAAAGGTCAGTGCAACTTTATGTAATATACTGTTGGTGTGGTTGGGTGGTTGAATTGTCTACACTGTGAATCACATCACTGTCATCTATTCAAGAGTGGGACCAATCTCACAATTGTATGAGAGGAAAGAAAGGAGTGGTGTTCCATGTCTAATCCCACACTGATCCGCAGTGAATATTTGCTAGGCCGCTACAATCACTGATAAGGATGACATCGATGCGGCTTAATGAGCCAGTAATATTAACTTTTTTCCTGCGACAAATTAAATTCTAAAACATTTTTTATATGTATTGGAAAAATAAATAAAGGCGTTTTACGTATTTGTAGGTAAAAATTATTTCCTATTTAGTGTAAATGGGTATTAAAATGACTAAAATGCAGCATTCTCTCCGAAGCAGTAACGTCTTATGTAAACAATACACGCGCCATTCAACCAATGATTGACGCCGCGTGCTGTGACGGCACGTGTTAAGGCAGTCATCTTTGACAGAGATATATTACTAGACTCGTAATTCTCTGTGAAACAGATTGGTCTAATCCATCAGGAAAAAATAAAACTACAAAGAGCATTTTTTTTACAGTTTTATTCAGCAGTTTTTTATACGCCCACATTTTAGTGTGGGTATGTTGTCACTCTGTCCACCTATCCATCCGTCAGCAATCTCCAACGGGGAGCCACCGTGGCTAAGTGGGTAAGCCGCTGGCTCGCTATTTTGGAGGTTCTGTGTTCGATCCCTGCATTGACCGAGAAAGTTCATCTGGATTTTCCGACGCGGATTCCCCTTGTCAGTGATGCAGAACGGGGGCCTGACAAGAACAGCTGCCTAGTCATTCGGATGAGACGAATAACCAAGGTCCCATGCATACATTAGTGAGCACGTAAAAGATCCCTTAACAGTTGGAATTCGATATAAGAGTAGGCCATAGTGCCGCTGCCCGGGCACACTATATTGCGTATATCCGTCTTCATTAGCCCAGTCGTAGCAGACCAGTAGGACGTTAAACCCAATTTTATTTCGATTTGCGAACGGGATAGACGGTACAGTCTTAGACTGATTTTCTTTTTCCAAACAATGTGAAGCATTGTTGTCTTGATAGATCGGCCCGTTCCGCGACGTTTCAGAGTTGTGCCCCCTTTTACAAAAGTAATGGAAATTTTGTGGGAAGCACTGGGGTCATGAGAGGATAAACCCTATCCATCTTCGACTTTCAGCAACCCACCATTCCGGAGTCATCCGTTCACCCCCCGCCCCCGCCCCCGCCCATCCGCAACTTTGAACAGATTGACGCATCTGGACAGCCCTCACTTCTGATATAAATACGTTAATCAGTTATAAGGTGATGTAATAAATGTACACACATGACAATCCGGACATGACAGAGAGTATCAAGAAGAGTTGTTCTCAAATATTCCAATTATAAACTATTAGGCCTGCAGCCAGAATTTCAAGTGAGAAGTTTCGCATCTCCCAGCTAAATAAACTATACATTTTTGGAAGTCTTATATCACCAGAAGTATCATGTTTCATCAGGAACAGTTGGTCTGACAAATTTATTTATTTCGCAAGAACATTTACTCTAAACCTATTGCGTTGTAACAGTTTTTAACTATCTGTAATTGCAAATTTGTACAACGCTCCAGGTGAAAGAACAGTTATCCAATTCGCAAAATTATAGTTCTTAGATGATGATGAGCTGGATTATTTAGTTCCTGCTATTAAATAAAGATTTCCTATTAGGGATGCAGAAGGGTGGGAAGGAGGAGGGGATCAGCGATGCCATGCAAAGAATAGATCTGGAATGTTTCGCCTAATTTATCAAGATTTTAACAAACGTATACGGTAAAATTTATAAATTACTTGTAATTTATATTTGTCAAGTGTCGTGGGTCCACCCCCACCCCCTACTTTTGCGTTAATTTATCACTATTTTATTGCCAAGACAATGATAAATATTTACTTGCTCGGGAAGCTGTTCAAGGCGTGTTGAAGTTTTTTTAAAGCATAATTCGTTGAAAACTGCAAGGCGTAAAATATGAGATTTTAATGTGTATGTAATTGAAGCAGTTTTTAGGGCAATATTCGCTGAAATCTGCAATATATCTCTGGGGAGGAGGTGGTTCAATAAGTAAGGCTAAAAAGGCAGTAAGTCAAGGGGGGGGGGGGGGTAGACCTAGGATCAGAGATATACTATCATTAATTAATTTATTATACAGAAATTTATTTTTGCTCATCATTTACAGATAGTATGATTATAGGGTTCATTTCATTTAATCGAGTGAATTACAATTAATTAGAGTTTAAATACATTTCATTTAATCGATTGAGTTACAATTAATTAGAAAATCTTCAGATTTTAACGTCTTACGAATAAACACGGGTCTTCATCTTTGCTTACCTACAATAAAACAAAATGGAAATATCTAATATTGATTTGTATCTGCCTAGCAAAAACAAAGGATAAAATAGTTTTAAACCGGAGAGTGAAATAAATATCCTCAAATATCTTGCCACTCGCTTTCGTCTTAATACCGGTAATGGCATATTTCTCTGCGCCTTCGATCAGACATGGTTTGATAAAACTAAACATATATAATTACACCTACCTAACCCTTGCACCTCAGATTACCCACGGTATAATATGCGTACTCTTTATCGTTCCCTGGCAAAATATAAACAAAATAACATTGAGAGAGAGAGAGGGGGGGGGGGGGGTCTCGTTAAATTCACTATATGTTTGGCGCAATATAGCCCGACCGGTGCTGACCTGCCATTAAACATCATTTCATTTTATTTTTTTCACATTGGTGTGTGATTCCTTGGCGCTTGGAATTCGAAATAAGAGTAGGCCGTAGCACCGCTGTATGGGTAAATTCCCCTCATTATACACTGTATTAACAATTGAAGATATACCTACCCGTATCGCCAACTAAAACGGCGGTTATCGGCAAATCTTCCTTATATCGAATATACCCTTCGTCAACTCGCAATCTATCATCATTCTTGTCACAGTTGCACTTCAAACCATCAACACACGTCTTACTGATATGGCATGCGCAGCCCATCTGACCCTTGACACCTCCCATTAAATAAGTAGCTAGTTGGCCAGTTCGTGTGGATAAACCAACAGAACTGAATGTCTCAACATGGAAACATTCAAATTTAATGAATTGTTCACATTCAGCCGATGCATCAACTATGTTTATAACTTGTTGAAGATCAATGTTGTAGTTGATACTGCCATTATAACTTCTTATTGTTTCATAACCATGTACATATGTTCTCTTAGCTCCATGACCTATAACATATATTACATAACATGTTACACATGTTCTATTAGCTACATCGTGACCTATCCTATAACACATAGCGTGTTACATCATGACCGATATTATAACACCATGACCTACACAATAACATGAAGCATGTTACATATGTTCTATTATCTGAATCTACTACAACTCATAACATGTAAGGTTTTTAAAAATATTACCTATAACTGTATAAACACCATTGTCTGAAACCTCACAAGACACAGTTAAAGGCGACTGTTTCACATCGGGTCTAATAACTACAGAGGGTGAAACTGGTATTCCCAGTTTGTGAGCGTCGTGACATGTCCTGGCTACAATAATAATCATCGTAATCATAAAATACTAACATGTTGTCAGATCTATAATTTATGACACTGAAAGATTACACCGGTATGATATAGTTTTTTTTCTAAAATAGGGGCTCTTTACTTTAAGTTGATTTGATCTGCAGAGTGGATGCCCGCTTACATGTAAACGTTTATTTCAATTGTCCCTGTTTGATTGAAAGACCCGGTGTGTCATTTAGAGCAATAGAAATCCCTTACAAACTATAGTGAAAGATAAATCTCTAATGGGAATATCAGCACAATTGTTCAATTCCATTCAGTATTTACAAAGATATGATGAATTGAAGTTTCATCGATCTGTGCGGCTCGAGCGGAGAAACCTAATGGACCTAGTGTTAATCCGAATCAATCCAACCCGGGAGATCATCTAGCGTTGACGTTAGCGTGTTAATAACAAGGTTATATAAAAGCTAATGATTGTCGCCATAATATTATATTTTGACTAAAGTGTACATAATGGTGACTTACCAATTTTACATGTAAATGATTGAATATCCCATTCACCAGATGGTAGGCAATGAGCAAATGGTGATCCCTTTACATAAGCACCCTTAATACATGTGTAGTTACGGTTAGCACCAACAGGATGCATTGCTTGCGAGTTTTCTACAAATGCATTTAGTTTGTGGGGTAGAGGTCCACATCCAGCGCATCCAGCATCTAAAACAAAGTGGCACGACTTAGTGACATAAAAAATAATTATTTCTCGTGCACTTCTGATTAAAAACGAGCAAGGGGGGGGGGGGAATGGTGTTCCCCGCCGAAATACCAAAATAAAAAGATGACACATACTGATTAATTTTTCAAAAATATTGAGCAATCAAACTGATGTCTATACTTAGTCTAAGCACGGTCAAATTCAGTCACGGGTTTGAAGTACCTGGTAGGGAATCTGTACACTATGTTTCATCACTCTCCATCAATTAGAATCAAAGTTGACAAATCAAATTGCTTATCGCTACTTATCCTTTATAGAGAATTCTCATCTTCGACGGGGATCACGTGGGTAAGACGCTGGTTCGCTAGCCTGGAGGTCGGGTGTTCGATCCCTGCATTGGCTGAGAAAGTTCATCCAGATTTTCCGGCGTGGTTCCCCCTTGTCAGTGATGCAGGACGGAGGGCCTGACAAGGACAGCTGTCTAGTCGTTCGGATGGAACGAAAAACCGAGGTCCCGTGTACACATTGGCGTGCACGTAAAATATCCCTTGACAGTTGGAATTCGATATAAGAGTAGGCCGTAGTGCCGCTGTCCGGGCAAAATTTCCCCCATAGCACACTGTATGGCGTATGCCCGTCTTCATTAGCCCAGTTTGGAGCAGAACAGTAGGACGTTAAACCCCATTTCATTTCATTTCATTTCACTCATCTTTGAACTTAGTCGGGGTATTGATAACATAAATCTATAGTTGGAGTTTCATAGCTCTCACCCAATTAGAACCAAAGTTATTGTGTTCGAAAGTCTCAGCCAATCAAATATCCCTGCTTAGCGTTAGTAGAAAATGCGCCTGATTAAAACTGTTAAGCCATTCACCTAAAAGACTTGTGAAGATATTGACGTTTCACTACTATTACTCCATGAGATCCATTTATATCGATCTCAAATCAAATTGTTTATCGCTCTGCTTATCCTGAGCTGAAAATGCTCATTATCGAACTTAGTCAAGGTATTGATGTGATGGAACTATACACACAGTTTCACCACTCTCGGCAAAGTTATCGTTTCCCAAAGCATCAACCAATCAAATTGCTTATCTCTGCTTACCATAAGCAACAAACGCTCATCTTCGAACCCCATTAAGGCATTCACTTAATGAGCACATACACCAATTCTGAACATTCTAGCGTAATTAGAAGGATTGTTATTGTGTCCAGTGGAACGAGGTGAAGATTATAACATCCAACCAACAGAATAAGAAAACTAGGAAAATCCTGGAAGCCATTAACAGTAGAAGACATTCACCAGAACTGAACAGGGACGCTGGGCTTCACATGTCAAGGGCATATGATCATGCTATCATAATGAATGATACAACTTAAAAGGTTATAATCCCTTGTTTCAAATGACTTTTCTCTACAAGTATTATAAACTGTCTTCATTACTAAATATGTTTCTCACTATTAGCCTACTATTCACATCAATCACCTATCTTGTTTATTTAGCAATCTGAGATTGGGCAATATGGTGCTTGTATTTCTAATGTTTATATTTCTATATTTTGGTAATGGTCTCATCTGTATCACCTCACTAACCGTAACATGTTTTCACCCAATGTCTTCCTTTGAAGGTCGTCATAATTAGTTTAATGTTATTCTTTTCCTGGACTATTTAATTCGTAAGCCTATGATCTTGTTTTTGTTGGGACTTTTTAAAAATCTTTTACTGTTTATTATTTTTGTCATAACCAGCCTGCTCACACCTATTTATCCCTATATTGTTTATTTAGTCATCTGAGATTGGGCAATGCGGTGCTTGTATTTTTAATTATTAGTGTTATCTATATTTTGGTAATGGTCTTATCTTTATAACCTCATTAACTATAACATGTTTTCATCCAATGGCTCCCTTTGAAGGTATTCATAATTAGTTAATATTATTCTTTGCCTGGACTGTAAAACCTATTATTAAGCTTTCATATTACATATGAAAGCTTATTGTTTCTGTTAAGATTATTATTGTTATTTTTTTTTTGTGTTTTGTCCACAAATCGGATTTCTCAGAATCTAACCATAGGATCGTTCTGAAACTTTTACCTATCCCCCCAAAAATGGGTGGTGGCTGTTGATTAAATATATTTTCAAAACGTTTTACGAATCCGAAATCACCGAATTTTACGAAGGAATGCATTTGACCTACAATGCTGTAACTTTGTGACTATTTGACCTATTTTACTAATTCTTTTTTCTTTGAGTATCTTGAAACATTTACTTCAAATCTGCAATTTCGGATTTTGGCATTTCGAAAATTCGTCGCTGTCATTTCGAACCGGAAGTTATTACCAATTTGACAACTTCTTTAATAGTTGTGCGATTTTCGTGAAATTTAGAATATTAGTAGATCTTGCCAATGCGACTTCAATGATGTCCTTGGAAATTTTCTAAATTATCTCCCCTTGGTGAAATTAAGGATCAAATTTTTCAAAAAAATCGTCGAAATATAGGTCAGAATGATCTAAAAAAAAAATTCGATACTAGACAAGTAATTACTGATTCGTACACAAAATATGGAGTTTGTCGATCGAACCGGAAGTGCCACCATCTTTAAACGTGAAAAATCAAAAAGGCTTTTTTGCTATTTTACTTACAGACTCGGGCGTCATATTTTCGGAATCCTGGAAGGAATGCCTAAAAATCTATCGGATCAGAATTTTGATTTCGGTCACGTGATGGTCACCATTTTGAATTGAAAATGAAAAATAGAAGCAATTTGAAGGGCCGGGACTTTGGAACACAAGAACTCTCCTTCTAATTAAGCTAGAATGTTCAAACTTGGTGTAGGCGTTCACTAGGTCAATGTCATGATTGAGTTCAAAGATGAGCATTTTTTGCCTAGGGTAAGCAGAGATAAGCAAGCTGATTTGTTGATTCTTTAGGGCACGATGACATTGGTTATAATGAATGGAGGGCGATGAAACTCTTGTCAATCGAGAGGCTAATAGCTGGCCTGTTGTGTGAAATCATTGTATCATTTTTTGAAAATGTCCGGGGTAGCCGAAAAAAGGAGATCGAAATCCAAAAAGTCGTATTTTTACGATTTGGGGCATTTTTAGAGGTCGTGTAAAGTAAAATAAAGCATGCATATACATATATTATTGATATTAAATATATCATATAAAAAACTAAACAATGAATCAGCTGTCATTGACAGATTTTATATTATAAGCATGGTCAGTGGAAGGTCAGCGTATTGTCTAACTTGAACTCACTGACTCCGTAACATTATTGTGGGTATGGTATAAGCTGAATTTGATGAGATGCACATATCTCGTATGACTATTTGGTACTTACAGTGTTAGACTTTGTCGTAACGTTACGGTCTCCATTCATCAAATCGTCGTTGGGGCTATAATACGATTTTGAATCAAGTTATTTATCACTGAGGGACTCAAAATTAGGTTTGATGTAGCTCTGCTCATTTACAGTGGCGAATTTAACGGGCTCATGGGTTCCAGCTCCCTCCTCTAGAAATTTCACAGCACCCGCATGGATTGTGGCTAATTTTGTGGCAGAATTTTATTTTTCTGGGGGAGGTATTTCTAAATGGCTCCGACACAAGTGCCTGAAATGCCATGAAATCACGTTTTCGGCCTCCAATTAAAATTTCTTAGCGGGAGAACCCCCTTACCCGACCCCCTTGCGGGGCTTCACGGTCGGTATCAGCCCCCCTCCCCACCACCATGGTTAATCCGGCGTTGATGTTCCCTCTTGTGCAGCTGCAAAAGAATTTCAATAATTCGCTTGCGCGTATGGGTCTTTAGCAGTGAGAGGAAACCGGAGTGCCCGGAGGAAACCCACGGGGTTGAGAAGACGCCTCTATCTCCATGCCACATACGCTCACACCTGGGATCAAAGCCACAGCCACAAGCCAGAGGTGACCGACCAGCTAGAGGTCGAAGCGCGGCACTCTAGGCCATCCCAACCCCCCTTTCTTGTACAGACCTGTGCATGTGTAGTCAATGTGAAAATGAAAAAAAAACTGTTAAAGAGACCGAATTTGATGTTAATACATTTAGTGACAGTGATGATGATAATGAAGATTAACTTTGATGACATTTGATGTGCAGAGTAACTGTTTAATTTTGATTTTCAATGATTGTTTCACTTTAATAAATAATTTCACAACTGTTCATCCTGTTTTCTAACCTTTCCCTTCATTCCAGCCCAAATACACAATTATTTTTTTTAACTTATATCTACATGTATGTTTGTAATTTGACCATTAATCATATCCGAAATAGTAGTTCACAGCTACATGTACAGTTGTAAAAATACTGTAGTGGCTAATTGAAAGGGAACATGTATGTGGGTTTAGAATGTTTATCTTAGTGGAAAAAAATCATGTGGTTCAATGCTTATAAAGTGCTACTGATCTCCATTATTTCAAAAGCATATCACTCAACTACTGTCAAACATATCCCCTGGCTAGAATATGCTACAAATCGACTCTAGCATGTTCCATACAAGCGATAATTTCTGAGCAAACATCCAACAACCAACCCTAACAGGCCCTTGAGATCCAACAAACAAAATAATAATTATTGGGCTTGTTTGCCCACACCTGGTCTTATGATTCATACAAGACCTGATAGTCTATCAATTACAGGCATTTGACAGAAAGGGAGATAATTCTTTTTTACCGTTAATGGATTTCCACAATTCTTTATTCACCCATGACATTTGTGTTTTGAGCATTTTTATTTACATCAAAATCTGTCCAATAAACTGTTCATTGCCAAGGATGAAGGCATGAGGTGTTTTACCAACTATTTAATTTTATGTCAACTTCAGAATTGTTAGTACACAAATAGCATTTATTTGACAATTTTGACGAATTTCATCTGGCCCTAAATCAATAAATTGCAAACATTTTGCTTGGAACTCCCAGATTTTGTCTTCCTGGCATCATAAGCTTTCCAAAAATGTATAGTTTTTCTTTTATGGAAGACCGTGTAGCGGAGTTGTGTTTCTAAGCTTGCTAGAAATTTTGGCTGCAGGCCTACACCTCCCAAGCTAAATTTCCCTCATGTCATCCTGTATAGCAAAGGCATATGCCTGTCTTAATTAACCCAGTACTAAACACAATTTACTTGTTTAATTTTTCCAGCATTTTTCAGGATAGCTGATGGGATGCGGGTCAAGTTATGCCACTTGTCTATTTAATTATTTACCAGTGAAAAATCGAATTAACTTCACCAAATTTTTACTCATTATAATGATTTTTTTTTTCTGTTCATATTATTTCTATGACATGTGACAGTGACTGTGAATATGAAAGCTTTAATATCTGCTTAGCAGATCTAGTCTTGTTTTGTTTTTGTTTAATCCTTTACCCTTATTGTTATTCAATATTTGTAAATGAGTTCTAGTGATCTCTTATATATTAAACTCAAGTATACTACGCGTCAGCTTTGAATGGGGAAACCCCCTTGCGGAACTGGACACATACAGATTCAGATCCGACCAGTCCTTAAATGATAAGTTATCTGTAAACCATCCCAACAGAAAAAATCTGCCGGCTAATAACAAAGCTGAAGGTGAAAGAAATGCTCAGATATCGTACCTTTAAAAGTATAAGGTGCGGTTGTGGCTCGGGTGTGTCTCCTTCTCATTTTTAGTAGACTGTGCTCGCCTCATAGCCGAAAGACAACCCCTCACCGATAAACTGAGTTCCCTTAACACGGCTCTCAGTGTTCCGAACTTACTCTATCCAAAAGTAATCAAACACGAGATCGATGAGTTTATCAGGTGATTGCTGGAGATGACTGCCCCATGCACTCTAACAAACCAGTCAGAACCCTATTCGCTTGACAAACAGTCGTCCAGAAGTTAGATCCTTCTGTTTTAGTGACGAATCCCGAATAACTTGCTAGCTCGTTATTCGCGAATCCGGAATAACTAACCAGCACGTTATTCGAGATTCGACAATAAAACAGGTGAGTGTGGGAGAGGACTACCCCGTGCACGCCAACAGACCCGTATACACACTATTCGCTTGACAAATGGTCGTCTCCTTGCTAGTTGGCCAGCACGTTATTCGGCAATAAAACAGGTGATTGTTGGAGATGACTGCCCCGTACACTCTAACAAACCAGTCAGCACCCCTACTCGCTTGACAAACGGTCGTCTCCGTGCTAGTCGGCCACCCAACGAGGAAATGGTCATTTGCAGAGTAGATCGTTCTGTTTTAGTGGCGAATCCCGAATAACCAGCTGACTCGTTATTCGCAAATCCCGAATAACGAGCCAGCACGTTATTCGAGATTCGGCAATAAAACAGGTGATTGCTGGAGGGACTGCCCCGTACACTCCAACAAACGAGTTATCACCCTATTCACATAACAAACGGTCGTCTCCGTGCTAGCCGGCCACACAACGTTCACTTATCCCTACAGCGAGGAAGTGGTCGGGTGGAAGGTAGGCCGGTCTGTTTTACTTCCGAATCCCGAATAACGTACTGACTCGTTATTCGGGATCCGACAATAAAACAGGTGAGTGCAGGAGGGCACTGCCCAGTGCACGCCAACAAACCAGTCAACACCCTATTCCAGTGGTTCTCAAACTTGGAACACCTTAAGAAATAGCGGCACACTTGGCTAAATATATATACTGAGCGCCATGGAAAACGCATCACTTTTTTTCCCAAATATTTTATTACTAGGTGGTTTTGTATGTATAATATTATGCAATACTATGAACTATTGTTTCACACAATGCTTCCCAAACGCAAAAAATATCGGCCCGTGCGCACGATATGCACATGAAAAACCCAATATTCACGTGCAGCATTGTGTGTGTGCAGTACATGAACTGTGAAACGTCAATCTGTCGTAATTTGTTGTTGGACATGTGAAGGAATCGAGCTAGAGATGCCGAGACTTACTGAAAATCAACGGAATGAAGCCATGGGAATGTCCAGGGCTGGCATGTCTACACGTGCTATTGCCAGACACTTCAATTGTCATCAGTCCACTATTGTAAGGTTGGTGGAACGTGTTCAAGTTACTGAATCAACACGTGACCGTCAACGTCCTGGTCCACAACGCGTTACAAGCCAGGCTAAAGACCGCTACAGCCGGGTCACTCATCTTCGTAAAAGATTCCGCCCAGCGACCCGAACAGGTGCAGCAGTCGTCGGAAGACAAGGACCAGTAAGTGCCAACACCGTAAGACGTCGTCTAAGAGAAGAAGGACTCCGTGCACGACGACCTTATGTTTGAGCTATCCTCAGGGATCATCACCGTCAGCGGCGTTTGATATGGGCTCAAGGACACCAGACATGGAGAAAAGTAGACTGGCAAAGTGTGCTCTTCAGTGATGAGAGTCGCTTTCATCTTTATCACGCTGATGGCCGTCAACGTGTGTGGAGACGTCTTGGGGAACGTTTTGCAGACTGCTGCGTCTTCGAAACGAATCGATGGGGTGGGGGAAGTGTAATGGTGTGGGGAGGCTTCACATTTCATCACCGGACCGCCCTATACATTTGCAGGGGTCGCGTTAATGCTGTAGCCTACCGTGATGATGTCTTGCAACCAATTGTTGTTCCGATGTTTCGAGCGCACCCACAACTTCAGCACTTTCAACAGGATAATGCACGTCCGCATACTGCCCGTTTTAGTATGGACTACCTGGCTGCTAACAACATCAATGTCTTGGACTGGCCAGCCATGTCTCCGGACATGGCACCGATAGAACATGTCTGGGATGAGATTGGACACCGTCTGTATCGGAGACCACAGATGCACACCATTGCTGCTTTAGAAGCTGCTCTTGTCCAAGAATTGAACAATTTGCCCTAGGCCTTCTTTCAAACATTGGTAAATTCCATGCGACGTCGCTGCACAGCGTGCGTAAGAGCCGGTGGAGGACACACGCGCTACTGACATCTGTGTCGTACTTTTGGTTTTGACCCCTCTGACTTTGTACCGTTGATTACAGATTAAACATCCATAAGTGTACAAATGTGTTGTTATTGATGTGTTCCCATTTGAATATTGTTCACAATAAGATATGTTTACAGGATCATTTTGTTATACGAAAAACTAAGTGATGCGTTTTCCATGGCGCTCAGTATATATGAAAAATATCTGAATTTTGCAAAATAGAAATATGGCAAGTGATAGACGGCATACAACCGTAGACAGAGAATAGTCATAGACACATAGCTTGACTCAAACTAAATAAAGATAAACACAACTTATCAGTAGACACCAGTGAATACTCAATTGGGATCAAGTGGCTTTTCACATTTTTTTTTATTGTGCCGTTCAAAATTTCGCGGCACACTTAGGAAGATCTCGCGGCACACTGGTTGAGAATTTCTGCCCTGTTAGCTCGACAAACAGGCGTCAGACAACGTTCACTTACTACCAAATGTACTCCAACAAACCAGTCAGCACCCTACGCGCTTGAGAAGCTGCCGTCTCCGTGCTAGTCTGCTATCCGACGTTCACTTACTCCTAGGGTCGGAGGTAGCGAGGAAATGGTCGGATGGAATGTAGACCGGACTGTTTTAGTGGCGAATCCCGGATAACGTTCTGATTCGTTTTTCGTTATTGGCGAATCCCGAATTTCGAGCCAGCACGGTATTCGGGATTCTCCAATTGTCAGCTGACATCGTCCGCTCAGAGACAGTTTTTAGGAACTACTGCCAACTATGAGAACTAGCACGGGTAGGTTATGTAAGATTTAGACCAAGAGCTGGTCGTTCTGGCTATACTACTTCAAATTAATAATAAATAATAATAGTGACTATGTTGAATAGCTTAGACTCGACTGTCATGGTTACGATAATAAACAAAGTCTCAATTTTCTTTTTTAATGTTAGCCGATTAAATGGTGCGAATGGGCTAATCCACATAATATCCAAATCATCTGATGGTATAGAGAAAATGTATATGTGCTTGTCATGTGAATAAATATCTAAATAATAAATTATATAACATTTGACGCCAGGAAAACGCCGTGCAAAGCCAGATTTAACTCTTACAATTATATAATCCGAATTTCATCGACGTGTAATTTTTAACTTCAATATTGAATGTATAATAAATTCAATGAAATTCCGTTTAACGCCCTGCATTTGTACATCGACATGGGCTTGTGAAGATGGGCATTGTGCTATGAGGGACATTTTGCCCTGACAGCGGACTTTCTTTAAAAACGAAACAGGAAGTGTTTATCTCCTTAATAAATGAAAGGAAATGTGATTTAACGGTTCTGCACCGATTAGGACAATGAAGACGGGCATACGCCATGTAGTGCGTTATGATGGAATGATGGACAATTTGCCCGGACAGGGGCACTACGGCCTACTCTTATAAACGTGGCTTACTCTGGTAACATTTAGTGTTGCTCAGACCATCTTTACATCCGTTGTTACACACACCATCTTCTATTCTACAGCCCCCTGGTTTACAATACGAACATGTCTGTAGACACAAGTCACTGCATCCCCAATAACCATCTTTACAACCAGTCAAACAGACGCCATCTAATTGTCGACATGTACCATTACAGGTAAAGCAGGATTCTTCACACGCATCACCGTAGTAACCGTCTTCACATCCAAAACATCGCCCCGTCCTATCATCACATTTACCATCCTTACAATGGCTACTACAAGTAGACTGGCATTTTTTACCATAATGGTCACCATGACAACCGTGAGAACACGATCCTCCTACCTTATCACATGTGTTGTTCAGACAGGATGTGGGACATCGTATGTTACAGTTGCTACCATAGAAACCATCTGGACAGTTATCTAAAGTTGATAAAGATACCTATTTGATACACACGTGTTAATATATATTATAGACATACCAATTAATCTAACATAGCTTTATAGGTTTTGTAGGGAGCAGCTTTGCAATAAAGTTTATTTTTCTTAAAGAGGCATGCTACAGCAGCTAAATCAGCCTAATACTGGTCTTTATTTTGACTTCAAATGTTGTATATACAACCACGTGGGATTTCTCCTGGTCCTGCAGTTTCCTCCTACTGCTAAAGATTTCTACGCGAAAGCTACCCCTCTATCTCACGCCATTAAATCATCATAATAGGCCGTGAAATAAGACGATCTTAAACAGTAAAATTGATAAAAAAAAACAAAACAAAACAACCCAAAAACTTTACCTGCAAATACTTGAACCTCACAGATGTCCAATCTTGCATCAGTGCGTTTAACAGATATAAAAATATATCTAGCGGATAATGATGGCATTGTTGGATGATTGCATCTCTCTATGGTGTATACAGAATCTGTTGTTGATGTTCTATTTTTAAAACATGGCGTAGCTGCTGTAAATCCTGCTTTATCACACTGACCACTAGAACTTATTCCCATCTCAAATCCGTCTAGCAGAATATTTCGACCTAATTGAACAGACGAGATAGTTGACTGGATTGAATAGAAATGAGGTTTAACGACCTACTGTTGTTCTGCTCCGACGCCAATGAGGGACATTTTGCGCTACTGCCTGCTCTTATATCGAATAACACCTATCAAGGGTAATTTTGCGTGCACGCCGACGTTTACATGGGACCTCGGTTTTTCGTCCCAACCGAACGACTATACGTTGTTCCTTGGCGGGCCCTTCACCCTGCACCACTGACAAGGGGTAACCACGACGGAAAATCCCGATGAACTTTTTAGGTCAACACAGGGATCGAATACAGGAGCTCAAGGTTAGCGAGCCAACCTCTTATCCACTCGCCCACTCAGCCACCGCGACTTCCGAGATCGTTGACACATAAATCTGTGCTAAAAACATGCGATTACTGTGATAGAAAGATCAGGAGCCCCGCACTACACACAAAATAAAAGAGACAAGACACACCTGCTGACAAGATACAAACTACATATACACATCGCAATAAATAAACAGCAGGGACATTCCATGTCAAGTGGACCAAATTTCGGAAAGTTGGAAACATGAACCCCTTCAAAAAATTATGAAAAATATATGTTTTAGTATATGGCCTTAAGCTAAAAAATCCAACATTTACCTCTCTAGGTCAAAAACTCGCTGAGATATGGCAAGTGGAAATTAGGGTACTGAAACGGATCATAAATTCAGTATTTTTATTCAGGTTTTCGGGTGGTTTAAGCTCACATTTCTGTGCATTGTACATTGAGTTTGATGCTAATCCATTCGTTTAAAGCGCCTGAAAACCTGAACAAAAAACTGAATTTATGATCCGTTTCAGCACCCTAATTTCAAATGGCTATATCTCAGCGAGTTTTTGACCTAGAGAGGTAAAATTTCGGATTTGTTAGTTTAAGGCGATTTACTATAACATATATTTTTTATAATTGTTTTGGAGGGGTTCATGTTCCCACCATCGGTCCAGTTGATATGGAATGAATGACCCAGCAAATATCAAATCAAGTGAATGGAACCGGGGCCAGCCATAGGAGTCCACTGTGTTGTACAGTCTTGGGCTTGTAATTGATATATGTACAAGCTTCACTGAAAATGAAAAAAAATATGTTTTACAAGAATGACGGTGGTTGTCTCTTGAATGGCGACACATTCGGGGTACCTAAAATTATATTTGAGTTTACATACCATCGTGTATTGGTTTTGATATTTTAACGGTGTTGATATGAAACTCCTGTCTTAAATCTATACACCACCACGCTGTTAATCCAGCCCAACTTGAAGTATTGACACCAAGATTAATAGTACTCTGTCGTGTTGGTTTATTATTAGCAACATTAACGGCACCTGGAAACAAGAAACAGTACATACTTAAACAGAGAGAGGGCAGAGTGGGAGTGGGGCTTAACGTCCCCTCGACACAAAGTAGGTCATTTTTGGTCTTACATATGGGTCAGCTGTAGGGGTCTGTAGCAGTGTGTTACATAGTGGCAGATATTATTGATAGTTATCGTGTCATCTTGATACATGAAAGCAGAATTGATTAAAATATCTTTATGTCGGCTTTTGACATCCATGGTTGTCCAGATGGCACACATTAGTCCTTACCATAATATAAACATATAGCTGGCCTGTGTTATGTAATGTCATATGTCTTGTAAAGCACTCCGTACTGAACGTTTAAAATGGTATATGATACAATATAGCCAGCAGTTGCGTACATAAAGATTTTGTTTGAGAGGTGTTTAGCAAAATTGCGAACGACAGATGCACATGTCCCTAATATGAGTGACGCAGTCAGGGGCCGAGCACCACAGATGATAGTTTTCTAGGGGCCAGTAGCTGATCTGGAAGCTGGGAATAGGGGATGGGGTGGGGCGGTTCCAAATCTAGGGCGCCACCCACAATCACACCCCCACAATTATTAATGTCAACAAAATACTGGTTATATTATAACACTGGGCATCCCGGCAGAACATAGATCGTATTGCCTATATACATTTAGTTGTTCGCCGATCATTATCTCGTCGGAAAGCATAAAGTTGACATAAAGATTATGTCATATATGATGATTGTTATTAATTTTGTTATTAAATTTATGTGAACCTTAGGGGCAGGGGCTATAACACTGAACAACCTGAGAAAATTTTGAAAAATTGAATCAATATCCAGGCATTTTGTGAACAAGAGAACCAGAAATAGGACAAGCACTGGTCTCTTTGACATGGAATATTAATGTGTATCTTGACTTATAAGTTACGTACGGGCGGCTTAAGTTGTATCTTGACTTATAGCTCATTTATTCATTAAAGATACATTATTTAAGAGCTAAATCTGCCTATTACAGGTTTTTTTTAGGCCTTAAATGTTATATAAATTATTAATTATGCATTTATTAACATGACAAGACCATTATAATCAACTTTCTAGATCATCGGGTGATCTTGATTTTCAACGGATTTAAAAACGATTGGCAGTTATTGATTAAATTAACAATGGATAATCGAGACTTTACTGTTTACTATTTTAACAACGGTACTAATGATAATCGAGACTCCACTATTCTCCAAACAGCCCTAACTTAGCTTAGAATGAAGAAATTTGACTGAAAAGTTCAACATATTTCCTTTTCATTTTCTAGTTTCTAACAATTATAGCGAGAACTGTCAGCTCTTCATCTAAATCTTACATAAAGCATCCAATCTGATTAAATTATAGATCTATATTTCGTTTCTTTTGTTTTTATACTTTCGATGGCCTCTATTAATTATAGTAAAGACATGTAAAACGAAATTTTGAACTATAAAAAACGAAACGAAATAGGATCTGTGTTTTAATCAGATTATAAATAATCTTTCGTTGAAATATTTTGAAAAAAAAGACCCCAGTAATAAACAAAATAAAATGTGTATTGAACTTACCAAATATAGATCTAACTTGAGTTGACAGAACAAGAAATACGTGTATTGAACTTGCCAAATATAGAGTTAACTTGAGTTGACAGAACTAGACAAGGTGTTTTGAACTTACCAAATATGGAGGTAACTTGACTTAACAGAACACTAAACATCAAACATTTATCTGCAGTTATCATTTTATAACACATTATTATTAAATCTATGGTAATAATAACATTATATACTGAGCTATGACCTGTAACTGACGTTGATAGAAAGAATTACTAGCTTTTTATAACAGCATTATATTGACATAGCTACAGGGGCGTAAATGTGGGGGTGGTTGGGTGGGTGATACCCTCCCCCGCACCCCCTCCCCCAGCGACGAAAAGTAGTCGGTCGCAAAATAAGTGCAGTCGGTCTAAAAAATTAAGCATCGGCGACTCAATGAATTAATGACGTATTTACGTCAATCTGTAGGCCTAAATTGCATACGTCAAGCTCCTCACGCAAAACTATAGTATAAAATAAACTTGTCAACTTGTTTTTCACTCTTATTCTGTTGTGTGATGTTGCGGTGTTGGTCTAAGAAATGTTTTCCCCCAGTGAGAAAAATAGTAGGTCTCAAAATAAATTATTGAGGTAAACAAACAATGCCAAAATAGAGGGGAAAAATCCGTGCACCTTGATTGCATATGTCATATGCTACTCACTACTCACGCAAAACTATAGTATAAAATAATCTTGTCAACTTATATTTAAAAAATGTATCATATTTGAAAAATGTATTTCACTCTTATTCTGTTTTGAGTATGTAGGTCTAAGAAACATTTTTTACCCAGGTAGAAAAATAGTCGGTCTCAAAATAAGTGCAGTCTGGTTATTCCAGTCTATTGCGCATGCTCTCATGGCGTCACCTTTTGACAAGAGTTGAGGAATATGTCTAGCTTCGTTCTTTCTGGTCACTTTCTGGTCACAAGTGATGCTGAAACGCACTATGGTACACGATTCGTGTAGCAATGGTAAAATGTTAATTTTGTCTTAAATATTGGATATCAGAAGCCTACCTTTTCCCGGTAAGATCACAAAATCAATGTTGATTTGAATTGACAAATAATTCGTGTTTTCAACGTGTAAGACTTTTTATGATATTGAGTTAGAAACTTAGCTACTTTAAGGCAATCTATTGAACTTAAGAATTTTTATTTGTTGCATATTCAATCCCAGTAGAAATATTAAATCGTATTTACTCATGTTATACGTGTTTTCTGACCATCAGAATTCTGCAAACTCGCACTAGCGGTGCTCGACTCCTAACTGCATCACTATCGTATTAGGGGCATGTGCATCAGTCAGTCGCATTTTTGATAAACACCCCCCCCCCCAAAAAAAAACCCCACAAAATCGTTATGTACGCCCCTGCCTAGCTATAACTTAAAACTCGTGAGCTTGGTACAAACAATTACCAGTTTTATACGGAAATATTTGATGAGGATACTTAAAATTCGAGTGATAAAAAAGTAAGAGTTAGCGGCAACTAATTATTTACATCCGTACAATTAGATCGCAATGCTGATTAGTTCAAAGAAAAATTGGGTACACCATAATTTTAACATAACAAGATCACGTGAGACTGCATCCTGTTTTCGATTTCAGATACGATTGTGTGTTATAAACAAAATTGAGAGAGAGAGAGAGAGAGAGAGAGAGGGGGCGTCTCCGGCTCATCTGGTTTCCTCCAACAGCCAACGACCCCCTACGCGCAAGCGAATTATTAAAATAAAGTTGAACCATTTGTTAGTCCCGGAATGACCCAGTTTGTGTTGAGTAGACGTTAAACACCCACTTTTCTCTCTCTCTCTGATATTTAAGCTGTTTTTAGAAAAAATTTTAAAATAGTAAATAGGCGTTTTTGTGAACCGATTAGATTAGACCGATTAGCTATTATACGCATTTGTGAATCAATTTGATTATGCTAATCGTTACATTTGTGAGACGATTTAACTCAACTGATTAGGCAAATCGACCTAATCGTCCCAGGAGGTGTTTAGGCGATTAGATTTGACTTTTTCAAAATGGCGGAATGTTCGACGTCGTAAGTAATTTTTAATGCTTATTGTTGTTTTTCTCCATAAAAATGTTTTTTTAAAACGCATTTGACGTGTTTAATGTTAACTTTATAGTCCACAAGAATGTTAGATCACCTCTAAGCAATTTTATTCATTTACAGTTTTTTCAATATATTCCTCGATTCTAGGTTTTCTCAGTAAACTTTTTACATGTTTTGTCACTTCAGTTTTCAAAAAAATACTTGAACTTGTTGGACATAGGAGATTGTTTCTAACGGCAACCATTTTTCCTTTTTTGCGTAGATAACCTTCATTTGTCTTTAACAAGTCATCAATAATTAGCAGAGACAATTTTTTTTTTTGATCGGTGTCCGTGATGGCAGCCATCTTACCAAATCGTAATTATCAAATTTCACATTTGTGGACCATAGCTAATCAAATCGAAATCATACCAAATCGTACTAGCAAATCAAAACCTAATCTAATCGACTCACAAAAACGCCATGTGTTAATGCCAGATTAGCATAAAGTGCTAAAGTTTCTCTCTCTGATATATTTAAGCTGTTTTTAGAAAATTTTAAAAAATAGTATGTGTTAATGCCAGATTAGCATAAAGTGCTAAAGTTTGTGTGGGCGAATGGTTAACGCGTGCACGTTTGATCATAAGGTCTGTCATTGAGTCAACTGGCGTGGTTTCGATACCCCGCTTGTACGTGACAAGGAGTAGGGTCATCTGTTAAACCTCGTAGGTTTTCTCTGGTCTCCACCCACTGCTAAAGACCCCTACGTGCTAGAGAATTGTTGAAATAAAATTGAAACATGTGTTTGTACCAAAATGACGTGGTTTGTGTCGAGTTTGTAAGTGTAAAGAAACGTTTTTGTCCACCAGCCCCAACCCCCTCCCCTACGGCCCCCACCATTTGCGTAATTTTTTCAAAATATGTTTCCTTTTTAGAACTACAACACTGTATAAAGCTATATGTAGCAAGACACCCTCCAGGAATGTAGAATATAAATGAAATGAAATGGGGTTTAACCTCCTATTGTTCTGCTCTGACTGGGCTAATGAAGATGAATATACATCATGCAGTGTACTGAGAGGGAAATTTTGCCAGGAGAGCGGCGCTACTGTCTATGTCGATTTCAAACTGCAAAGGGATCTTTTACCTGCACGCCGATGTGTACACGGGGCCTCAGTTTTACGACAATGACTATACATTGTCTTTGTCAGGCACTCCCTTCTTCACCACTGACAAGGGGGGAACCCGGGACCTCCTGGTTAGCTAGCATCTTACTCACAGACTCACCACGACTGTCCATAAAAATATGTAGTTGTTGTCGCAAAGTGCATAGCAGGCAGGGGTTAGATGGCCGAATGGTTAGCGTGTTCACGATGTATCATAAGGTTTGTCATTGAGTCAACTGGCGTGGTTTCGGTTCCCCGGTTATACGTGACAAGGAGGTGGGTCGCCTGTCCAACCTCGTGGGTTTTCTCCGGGTCCTCCGGTTTCCTCCAACTGCTAAAGACCCCTACACACAAGCGATTTATTGAAATAAAATTCAACCATATGTTAGTCCCGAAATGACCTAGTTTGAGTCGAGTGGATGTTAAACCCCATTTCTCTCTCTCTCTCTCTCTCCCTCTCTCTCTCTCTCGCATAACAGACAGGATAATACTATAATAATTTGTATTCCTATTAAATTTATTTATAAAAATGAAAATGATACATGAAAAACCTTTTAATATGTAATTAATTTTACAATAGCTCCCCCTACTTGTTATAAGTACACACTAAGTTTCATCACTCTCTATCAGATAGAATCAAGATTATCTTGCCCCAAAGCATCGACCAATGAAATTGATTAGCTCTGCTTAGCTTTAGCTTGAAATGTTAATCAATGAAATCAGTCAAGACATTTACTTAATGAACATCTACATCAGGTTTAAACATACTACCTCAATTAAAACAGAGTTTTTATGTTCCAAAGTCTTGAGCAATCAAATTGCTTATCGCTCCTTAGCCCAGGCAGAAAATTCGCACAATCGAACTTAGTCAAGGTAATGATCTGATGAATCTATATTCAGAGTTTCATCGCTCCCACTTTATTATAACCAAAGTTATCGTACCCCTAAAGCATCAACAAATCAGATTGCTTATCTCTGCCTACCGTAAGCAGACAATGTTCATCATCGAACTTCATCAAGGGTTTCACCTAATGAATGCCTGCACCAAGTTTGAACATTCTACCTCAATTCGAAGGAGAGTTATCGTGTTCCAAAATCTCAATCAATCAAGTTGATTATCGCTCTGCTTACCTTCAGCAGAAAATGTTCATTATCGAACTTAGTCAAGGTATTGATGTAATGAAACTATACACCAAGTTTCATAACTCTCACTTAATTAGAACTAAAGTTATCGTTTCCCAAGGCATCAACCGATCAAATTGCTTATCTCCGCTTACCCTAAGCGGAAAATGCTCATCTTCGAACTCCATCAAGGTATTGACCTAATAAACACCTACACCATGTTTGAACATTCTAACTCAATTAGTAAGAGAATTATTGTTTCCCAAAAAGTGTGACAGACAGACAGACAGACAGACGGACATACGGACGAACCCATTTTAATAGTCCCCTGCTTTCTTCGGAAGGTGGGGGACAACAAACAATGGGTATTCATATAATCAATATAATGATGTACATAAGAAAACAGCTTCATGATGTAAACTACTAGTTCTACAGCAATAACAGATCTGCTAGATCTACAACACAACAGTTCTATCTGCTAGATCTACAACACAACAGTTCTATCTGCTAGATCTACAACAATAACAAATCTATCTGCTAGATCTACAACACAACAGTTCTATCTGCTAGATCTACAACAATAACAAATCTATCTGCTAGATCTACAACAATAACAGCTCTCTCTGCTAGATCTACAACAATAACAGATCTATCTGCTAGATCTACAACACAACAGTTCTATCTGCTAGATCTACAACAATAACAGCTCTTTCTGCTAGATCTACAACACAACAGTTCTTTCTGCTAGATCTACAACAATAACAGATCTTTCTGCTAGATCTACAACACAACAGTTCTATCTGCTAGATCTACAACAATAACAGATCTATCTGCTAGATCTACAACAATAACAAATCTATCTGCTAGATCTACAACAATAACAGATCTTT